AATGCAAAATGAATGTTGTTTGTGGGAGCGCGCGAAAAGGGTTTTGGCGCTCATTGACATGGCTTGACACGTTTGACATGTTGAGTCCACATTGGCCCTGGAGCACGCTATTTTTCTAGTCGACCAGAGGGAGGTCGGTCACGACAGTATTGATCTGGCAACCTTGCCAGCGGCAGCGTGGAACGTTCCCATTGAGCCATTGGAGGTTTGCCATAGGGAAATGGTGAGCATCCACCACTTTGCCTGCAAAGCTTGCGTCACACACGGGTTTGAACCTTTGGTGCACCGTCCCATGAGCGGCATCGCTACCACTGCACTAAGGAGCCCTTCTTATCGACAGTGAAAGGGTTGTAGAGAAAAGGGAATAGCCCACGAAGGTTGCAAACCTTTAGACATCTCGTAGTATTGATCCCGCGACTGATCCAACACCAACGTAGACCGCAGGCGCTACACCACTGACGAATCAATGCAAGGTGCCTCCCTTTCCCTTTCCAACACCGTGCTTTGACCCACGCACCTGGCAGTTTGAAGTTGGCCAACTCCAAAAGTCCTCCGAAGGACTTTTTGCTGCGCGTAACGGGCGTCACCTGCGTCTCTCCAAACACATTGTATTTCGCCCTTCCGCGTCCCGTTTTCTGTCAGCGAACCCTATTTGCTGACGGTGAAGTAGGAATTTTGTTTACTTAACATATTAGGTTGTCTCATAAGTAGTGTCGCTTTTTTTCAAACAAAAAATTTTCTTCTAAATCCTCATGCTTTTACACCATGTTATATACCATTCGAAAGAGAATTGTCTGCTCTATCTTCCATCTCTGTAGGGATTTCAAATTTTGGGTCTGCGAAATGGGAGGTCCAGTCGACAAAAACTGACCAAACCGACAACTAGCTCAAGCTTTATCACTCAAACTTTATCACAGCACTTCTTCTGCTCTATTCGCTCATTTGTTTTGTTTTTATGTTTGTTGGGAATTAGTTCGAATTTTAGGTGTTTAGGAAAGGTGCTTTATCCACGAAAGTGACCGCATTTCTTTGAAAAAAATTATCCTGAGAAGATGAGAAAATCAACCAGGCGTACATTCCTAACTTAGTCATGACTTGTTCTTTAAATTCTACTAGTTTTTCAATGTCTCGGCTATAAAAAAATTTCGACCTAGATCTCAGGTAATGGTGCTCGACCGTCGAGTTCTGGTTGAAAAACCAGGTCTGGAAATGGAACGACGCGACTTGTTGGGAAACCTAATAGTGTAATGTTTAGAAGAGGTCATGTATAAGTAGAGGGTACATCATTGATTGATTTCTCCCAAGGGAAGATAAAGTTAGAGATAGTTGTCGGTTTG